CAATATCAAGAAAGGAGTGCATCAAGGGTTTAGCCTATCTTCATACATTTTCAATCTATGTGAGGAGCATGTCATTCAGGAGGTTAGACTTACTGATGAAAAATGTGGCATCAGGTTTAGAGAAAGACTCAACAGCCTGCATGTGCTATAGCGATAACACAATTTTGCTTTCTGAAACTGTGAAGTTTGAAGTGTATTATAGAGAAGGTCAAAAATTATATCCTTCAATATGGATTGCATTTCAACATCAAGCAAAGATCCTCTCCACTAAGCCAATAGGTAGTATCATCGTAGATGGAGAAAGGATTGAGGTTTATTATTTCTTCTTGTTTTAATCCACGATCAACACTTTAGGCACCAGAAGTCAGGAAATCAAAAGATGTGTTGCATTGGAAAATCTGTTATTAAGGATATCTCTAGAGAGCTAAAACACAAAGATGTCAGTATAAAGGCTAAGGTGTGCCTGACCCAGGTCATGGTCTTCTCAGTTTCTTCCTATGCATCTGAGAGTGGACAATGGCTAAGGATGACAGAAGAAGAAACAATGCCTTTGAGTTATGGTGTTGAAAAGAATATAAGTCTGTCCTGGAGAGATCAAAACCAGTTTGCTAATAGGAGGCAAGGATTTTGAAACGCCATCTCACAAACTTTGGGCATGGTGCCAAGAGGTACCAATCCTTGGAGAAGTACACCATATTTGGAAGGGTAGAGTATAAGAACAGAAGAAGATCCTAGATTAGATAGACTAACATAGTAACTGTGGAAATGGGGGTAAAGTGTGTACAGTGAGGTTGGCTAAATATAGGGCAAAGTTCAGAGACCTTGTTCATAGAGTCATTGTGAGTTATAGTCTACTCAGCATTACATAACAACCACAGACAAGATTGGGAATATTCAGGGTTGTTGTTGTTGTTGTTGCTGTTGGTAAGTGCCATCGAGTCATAGGCGACTCATAGCTACCTTATGAACGAAAGACCTGGACACTTGTAGAACTTTCGTCCTTTCTCCAGATTCAGAGGGTTTCCAGAGGCAAGCTATTTTGGAAGTGGATGCCACTTCTGCTTCCAAATTCAGGGTAGTGTGGCCATAGATTATTATGACTATTTCAAAGTTCAAATTGAAAATTTTAAAATAAACACAAAATATTATTGTGCAACTCACCATAATAACACAAAAAATATAGGTATCTGATAGTTTTATATTACAGTATTTATTTTAATATGACAAAAGCAGTGGTTCACTAATCTGACAGCATGATTGAATTAATGAAAAGCTTTAAGCAGCATTTATACCTGGTGTCTTCTCTCAGAATTTTTCTTGAATAAAGATTATTGTTTATGAAATGTCCTCAGGGGATTCTAATATGCAGGCAAGTAGGATAATCTTTTTAATATGAATTCTCTATTGAGTAAAATGTATAAATTTATAAATATGACCTCTTAAGGTTTAATCTTTTAAAAGCTATTAGTCTAATCCAATTTCATTTTCTTTTTTACAGGTGAACCACAAATAAATATTGCATCTTTTTAATAAGCATTAAATATTTCTAAATAATAGTATTAGTGAAGATAATTTGCATAATGTCAAATTTATCTTTTCAAAGTACAAATTCAGTGGTTTTCGTCTATGCAACTGTAACAACTATCTACTTTCAGGACAGTTTCTTAACCCCAAAGCTCCCTAATCACAAGCCCATGACTATTACTGACTTAATTCCTGTACATAAATTTTCCTATTTTGAATATTGCCTTTTATGGATAAAAATGAAATAATAAAACATGTGGCTTTTTGTATCAGACTTCATTAACTTGGCGTATACCCCACAGTCTGGTAGCATGCTTTTGTGCTTCTTTTTATTACAGAATAATATTCCACTGAATAATATCTTACATTTTGTTTATCCGTTCATAATCTGATGGCCCTTTGTTATTTCCGCATTTGTAGCACGAGTGGCATTCACTTCCTAATAACACACCTCCGGAAACTCTATGAACTTTGATTAATATCGATAGTTGTAGAGGGGCTTCGGGCCTTTTGTTTATAAGGTTGCTATGAGTCATGGTCGACTTGAAGGCAATCAACAACAACAACAATTATTAATAATGGTACTATGAACTTGGAGAAACGAAGAAAGTTATATGTTGCAAACCAGATGCAGAAAGGAAGCAGGAAAACAGGGAAATGAGTTCTAAAAAAGAGGAAAGGCTGTGGCAGAGGTCCTCTGTGAAAGGTCCCTATGTTTTTTACTTAGTTTAGGCCAGTCATCCTCAAAAAGGTTCAATCTCCAGAGACTATATTTTCCTTTTACTTAAGGGTTGCCAACATAAAAATGAGTAAGCTTAATCTTTAAGCTAAGACCAAAGCTCAGGCAAGGCATCCCCTCTGGTGGGAGGCTGGGTGGAAATCTCTGTTTGCAGAGGGCATCCAGTATCTCCTCCAGGGGGCTGAGCAGAATTCTTTGTTTGCAGAGGGTGCTCAGTTCTGTCTGGACTCTGATCTTAGCTGTGGCCCAGTTGTCACTATGCTGAGAAACCACAGTTACACAAGTGTGTAGGTCTTTCGTTCATAGGGTCTCTATGAGTCGTCTATGACTCAATGACATTTAACAACAACAACAATAACAACATAGTGGTGTATTAGTTTTTGAGTAAAAATATGTCCTACATTTTCTCAAATATATACCTGAGAATAGAAATAATGGATCATGTGGTAAGTCTGAGGGACTGACAAACTGTTTTACCAACTGTTAGACCATTTTGAAACTTTGTTAGTAAAATATTAGAATCACAAGACCTCCATATCCTAACACTTGTAATTCTTTGTCTTCTATATTTTTGTTATTCTAGTGGGGATAAAGTGGCATCTATTGCAACTTTGTTTCCCTTTTCCCAATGACAAAGACTAAAAGTTTTGAGCATCTAATATATCTTGTCACATATATGATTTTCAAAAACACTTTTTCTCATTCTATCTGTGTTTTTACACTTATTACATGATTTTTTTCTAGCACAAACTTTAAATTTTTTTTTTTATAATCAAATTGGTCTTCATTTTTTGGTTACTTATTCTTGTGACACAAAATCAAAGACTACATTGCATGATACAAGGCCATGAAAAGTATTCCTTAATTTATAGTTTCAGTTTTCTAGTTCAGCTCTCAAGCTATCATGAAATTAATCCCAAACTTTCTATACATTACGCTATCTCTTTATTATCAACACTATATTATTATTAAGGAATATATAAACTGTGATGGTAATAATAGCACTTTCTCAGTAGTGTCTTGCATTGAAAAAAAAAAGAAAACATTTCATTTCAAACAAGAAAACGACCATTAATTATCAGCGGAAAATAATTTTGCTAACGTATATAAAACCCTGTCTGTAGTATCTTTTACAAAAATGTTTTTTTCAATCAATAATTTATTCATTGCTCATACCTTCTTACAGAAAACCAGAATAACATAAATGACAATTATATATGTGGATCTTACCTAAAGGAATATAAAGTATCAAATTGGTTTTATCTCTAAAAAGAGACAATACAGAACTCATTATCAGCTGTCTAAACAAACATTGAGGCTGATTGTGGAACAGAACATTAATTACTAATATGCAATATAAATTGCAGCAGTTTTTTAAATGTATATTAGGCAACTATTCTTTTTTTTCAATGCAGTAAACATAATTTATCCAGTTTTTCTCAGTCTTACCCCCACCCCAATGTCAGCCTCATTCTATAACAGTGGCACCATATAATATTTGTCTCTTTGTGACTGAGATTTTTTACTCAGCATAATGTCTTCCACCCATTTTGAATAATATTGTGAGAGTTCCTTGTTTTTCAAAGCAGCATAGTATTCCATTGTGTGAATATACCACAGCTTCTCTATCCATTCATTTGTTGATGGGCACTTAGATTGTTTCCAACTCCTTGCTATTGTGAATAAAGCCACAATAAACATGGATGTGCATATATCTGCTTGGATGTAATTTATGGTCTTTATAGGGTATATTCCCAGTAATGGAATTGCTGGGTCAAATGGTATCTCTATTTGCAACTTTTTGAGAAAGCACCAAACCACTTTCCATAGTGGTTGCACCATTTTACACTCCCACCAACAGTGAATAAGTGTTCCAGTCTCTCCACAACCTCGCCAGCATTTGTTGCTTGCTGTTCTGTTAAATTTTGCTATTCTGACTGGGGTGAGATGATATCTCATAGTTGTCTTGATTTACATCTCTCTCAGGGCTAGGGATTTTGAACATTTCTTCATGTGCTTGTTGGCCATCTGAATGTCTTCTTTGGTGAAGTGTCTGTTCATATATATAAGTCCCTTATCTAACATGTCATTACCAAAGACTTTTTCCCAGTCTGTGGCTTCCCTTTTTACCCTGTTGGAGAAGTTTTTGGATGTGCATAGGGATTTGATATTTAGAAGGTCCCATTCATCTATTTCATCTTCTCCTGGTTCTAAATTTTTCAGGATACTTGTAAGACTCTTTATGTTGTGGATTAGGACTACTAGAGTTCTTCCAAGCTTTTCTTGAATGAAGTTTATAGTCCTTGGTTTTAGTCCTAGGTCCATGATCCACCTTGAGTTGGTTTTTGTATATGGAGTGAGGTGTGAATCTTGTTTAATTTTTCTGCAGATATTTTTCCAGTTTTGCCAACACCATTTGTTATAAAGGCTGTCATTTTCCCACATAACTGATTTCATCTCCTTGTCAAAAATCAGTCGACTATAAATAGATGGACTGATTTCTGGAATCTCAATTCTATTCCATTGATCTATGTGTCTGTCATTGTGCCAGTACCATGCTGTTTTAACTACCAAGGCAGTGTAGTAGGGTTTGAAATCAGGGAGTGAAATGCCTCCTACCTTTTTTCTGTTCTTAAGGAGTGCTATGTTTATTCGGGGATTTTTTTTTTCTAGTTCACAGACATTTATGAAAATAATGTTTAGACTTTACATGCAATATCCTAGGTCCATCTGCATTTTATAGCATGAAGGGCAAGTCTATGTTCTTCTCCCCAGTGCCCACATAGATGTAGCCGTAGTTTCTGGTGAAGGAGGCATAGTAGAAGGTGAGGCCTGGCCAGAGCAGGCTGCGCAGCACCACCAAGGTGTTGCCTCTCTCCATCTGGACGCTCCAGGAAACTTTGGGGATGTCGTGCTCCAGAGAGTCCATAAAATCCAGGGATGGATCCAGGTCAGCCCTCTCAAGTAACGTCTTCTTCAGTTCAACGACCTCCTTGAAGTGGAAGTAGGAACTGAGCTTCTTGGCCTCAGACAAGGACAGTCCTTCAAAGGTCCGGTTGACATGAGTAGGTCCAAAAGGAGTCTTGAAGAAGGTACCTCGGGGGACAATAGCCACAGCCTTGTCAATCTGGTCAATGATGGACACCAAACGGTTCTCCTCCTTGATATGAACCACCACTTCCTCTTCAAAGACCTTGTCACCGTCGTTGACCATCTGCATCTCCGTGTGCCCATACTCATATGAGGGGTCCCCAAGGAAGCGACCACTCACCACAGATGTCTGCTGCAGTATCTCCTCCATGGCGAGGGGCAGGAGGCTCCACTCCATGCATCTTAAGGCTTAATATATTAATGAAAAAAAAAGTAGAATGCAACATCATGTTCTGAAAATGCTCTGTTGGCATAGTGTTGAAGCATTGGCTGGAAGCTAGTCTAGTCCCTTTCCTGAGTAATAAAGTAAATCCATTTTCCAAATATTAAAAACTTTTTATGCTCCTGGATCTCATGTACCTGTTCTAATAGTAAGAACCCTTGCATCCAGAAACTTGGAGCAATCTCTATACATTGTAAATTTTAGAATTATCTGAAATTCCTAATACCCAGATGATTTACAAATTTATCTAATCTTATCCTTCTTGCAATATATAAATTCTTTCCTACAGTTACAGTTTACTTTTTACCTTGGACTTAGGTGTAACCCTTCATGTGGCTCTGTGCCAAATGCTCCGTGTCTCCCTGTCTCTGGGACCTAGGAATATAACAGAACTGTTTACTTTTAATAATCTTTCTGATTTCTCTTTCCCACTTTGCATCCAACTTAGTATCCCACAAATTTGTTAACCTAGACAAATTCAAAATGAGGAATATTCCACAAAAATAAGGGGTCAGTTATCTGCAAAAATATATCCAATCCATTAACAATATGCAAAGATTGAATAACTGTTACATATTGGAAGATATGATGGGAAAATAGTTGGGAATGTTGCCAAGAGGCAACAGTCCTTGTAGAAAGACAAATGTTCGGAAGGGTAAAGGGTTACCACAGGAAATAAATAACCCTGAATGAGATAAATTTTCCCAGTGACAGTGGCAATGAGGTCAGGTGTGTTGAAGATGATGAGGTTGGCTTAGAAAGAGCCACTGTTCATAGGGTCTCTATGAGGAATAGATGACTTGAGGGAACATAACAGCAACAATAATAACATGGCAAGATAGTAGTGAATTATAAAAGATACTGCAGAAAGCATCTGTGGACAAATATTCAACAGTACTTGAAGTATTAATAGAAGATGGAAGGAATATACAGCTACTGTATTAAAAGGATTGATTGGTGTTCATTCATCTCAGAAGACGTATATGCTTATGAACCAGTGGGACTGAAAGGAGTAGTTCAAACTGTACTGAATGCATTGGTGAAAAATAGTACCCCAGGATTTGACATAATACCAGTTGAAGTGTTTGTACACACATACAACCCCTGATCAACCCCGCCAAGAAATTTGGAGGCCAGCTAACGCACTAACCAACTGGAAACAATCCATATTTACCCCCATTCTTAAAATAATACTCTGACAAAATGATGAAATTATATTTTTTAAAAAATCATTAAAATAGTATACAAGTAAAATCTGTCTCAATATAACTAAAAGCACATGGAATAGAACATTAACAGGAAGCTAGGTAGAAACAGAATGGATGGTGAAGAGATTGAGATTGTTCACTGCTTTAGTCTGCTTGGCTCCACAGTCAACACTCTTGACACCAGCAGTCAGGAAATTAAAAGACATATTGCAATGGGAAAGTCTGCTGTTAAGGACATCTCCAAAGTACTGGAGAGCATTAGTGTCACTCTGGAGACTACGATGCACCCAATATAGGCCTAGGCCTTGGTCTTTGCAATCACTTGTTATGCACGAGAAAGTTGGACAATGACTAGGGAGGACAGAAGGAGAATTGATGCCATTGAGCTGTGGTGCTGGAGAAGAGTATTGAATATACCATGGACGCCTAAGAAAATAAACAGGTCATCCTGGAGAGGGCTAAACCAGGCTACTCCGGGAGACAAGGATTCTGAGGCTTCGTCTGACATGCCTTGGACATGTTGCAAGGAGGGACCAGTGCTTGGAGAAGGACATCATGCTTGGGAGGGTGGAGGGACAGCACAGGAGGGGAGGACCCTCTATGAGGTGGATTGATTCAGTGGCTGGGATAATCAGGGTGGGTGTGTTAGAGACAGTGAGATTGGCACAGGACAGAGCAGAGTTTAGGGCGGTTGTACATAGCTGTCGCAATATGAGTCACAAGTAAATGATGGCACATAACACCAACAACAACATCAGGAATTTAGGCTGGGGTTAAAAGAGTATATAGAACAAAAGAGCATGTGTTCCTTGACTGAAAGCAGAGAATATCAGAAAGATGTCTACTTATAAATAAAATATAGGTATGCAAAATATTACATGTATGGCAATGATAAGATATGCTGCCAAGAAATTATTTAAGGACCTAAAAAAGGGGGTGTCACCTAAATGTACCTGGTCCAAGTCATGGTACTTCAATTGTTTTGTATGGAAGCCATTTCTTTGAATATAGAATAATTATGAGAAGTATGAGTTCCAAATAATGGCCCTAAACCAACAATAACATATCTCAATGCAGAAAAACTATTATAACATACACTGAACTTTATATCTGTATGTTGTGATTGATATTTAAAAATATTTTCTATTTTCATGTTTTTATATTTAAAATAACTTTTTAAAAAATATTGGGATAAACATGTTGGGGATACACGGAGGTGAGGGTTGGGAGCAGAAGGGTGAGGATGGGCAGGGATGAGAATTGCAGGGATGCAGTTACAAGGCTGCACAATTTGGTTGGTGGGGGAAGCATGTGAAGGAGATGAAAAGGATCCAGTGGGGAACAGTTGATTCAGGACAATTGCAAGCATAGTCCAATGGTGATCATACAAACTATCTTTTTCACCTGTGGGTTTCTTATTTGGGAATTTGGCGCAGACTCTCTGGCTTCTTCATACTGAATGGGGGGGGAGCATTTGATGTGAAGGGGGAAAGGGAGCACACGTTATCACCTTGCTGGTAGTCTTGGGGTGAAGCTGCTTGCCTTCTTGTTCTGTTAGAAGATATTTTCCTGACATTTACTCCCCTCTGGACTGCAAAGTGTTTTCCCAGGTGGGTCCAGTGGGGGTGGCTAACTGAACCCTGAGGCTCCATCCTCCTTTGCTTCGGTAACTGACCATTGTATTTCCTTTTTGTCTCTGGAACTGGGTTCAGGGTCAGGTCTGGAGTAAAACGAAGTATTAAGGTTACCTATAGAAAAGGGAGCAAATCTACAGAGAACAAACTTGTTAGTTACAAATAGAAGGGCTTTGGGGGGTGTTACTTATGTGTGTACTGGGGAAGTGGGTGGAGGAAAGTAGCCTCAATAAAATACTCTGTATACCCTAGGCAGTTTTTTTCTACCCAGGGGTCGGATGGTACAATCCAGCGCTGAGGAGCTTACCCAGCGGGCTGGCTCGCCCCACTGGGGGCAGAACACATGGCTCACCCTATAAAATAACTTTTAAAGTTATGAGCTATGAGAACCAACATCTTTGTCATTTCTTTTTTCTTTTCTCTCTTTTTTTTTTTTTTTTTTTGCCTTTAGGTGACTTATTTATGCATTGGCAGGCCAAGAAATTGTTACTCAAATGCCAGATACTATAAATATAATTGAAGGGACAGCAGAAACCCCATTTTTTATAAACCCACATTAATGCTAGAGGAAGAAGCGGGCTATAAAAATTCTTAGCTTAGGGCCAACATGAGTGCCCCGGGTAAAGCCTGGTCTGTCCTTGAAAAGTAAAGAATTAACTAGTGTCTACGTGACACAAAAAGAGTAAAGGCGGGCAAAGTAGCCAGCCCATCAAAAGCCGACCAAATGACTGATCCCCCAACCGCCAATCTCTCTGCCCTAACTGGGGCACTCAAGAAAGGGCTATAAAAGCAAGTGGGAGGGGGAACTCGAGGCTTTTTTTCCTTCACCACATTCCTGAGGAAGGAGAAAAGTCTTCACACATCAAAATAATACAATAAACACTCTTGAAATTTCAGATGTGTTTTTAGATTTCTTTGAGGGGCATTTTGTGGGCTGAACAATATCTGAGCTTTATTGTCTTTAAAAAGGAAAGGAAGATCTATATTTGTTCCCATTCCAAAGAAAGGTGACCCAACTGAGTGTGAAAACTACAGAACAGTGTCATTGATTTCACATGAAAGCAAGATTCTACTGAAGATTATCCAAAAACAATTAGAACAGCACATCAGCAGAGAACTACCAGAAGTCTAGGCTGGGTT